AGGGGGGAGGGGGGAGGGGGAAAGGGGAATGGAAAAAGGGGGGAGGGGGAGGATGGGATAGGGGAGGGGAGAATGGGGGGTAATTAGGTTCGGTCTGAGGAAGAAGACCGATAGGTCTAATTCCTCAGACCAAGAGCCTCTTCACCACGCCAAGGAGCCCCCCTTGAAGAGGCTATAAGAACATAAGAACATAAGAAAGGAGGAACACTGCAGCAGGCCTGTTGGCCCATACTAGGCAGGTCCTTTACAATTCATCCCACTAACAAACATTTGACCAACCCAATTTTCAATGCTACCCAAGAAATAAGCTCTGATGTGCAAGTCCCACTCAAATCCAACCCCTCCCACTCATGTACTTATCCAACCTAAATTTGAAACTACCCAAGGTCCTAGCCTCAATAACCCAACTAGGTAGACTGTTCCACTCATCAACTACCCTATTTCCAAACCAATACTTTCCTATGTCCTTTCTAAATCTAAACTTATCTAATTTAAATCCATTACTCGCGGGTTCTTTTTGGAGAGATATCCTCAAAAAACCTTGTTAATATCCCCTTTATTAATACCAATCTTCCACTTATACACTTCGATCAGGTCTCCCCTCATTCTTCGTCAAAACAAGTGAATGTAACTTAAGAGTCTTCAATCTTTCTTCATAAGGAAGATTTCTAATGCTATGTATTAATTTAGTCATCCTACGCTGAATGTTTTCTAACGAATTTATGTCCATTCTGTAATATGGAGACCAGAATTGAGCTGCATAATCTAGGTGAGGCCTTACTAATGATGTATAAAGCTGCAGTATGACCTCTGGACTTCTGTTGCTTACACTTCTTGATATAAATCCAGTAATGTATTTGCCTTATTACGTACGCTTAGGCATTGCTGTCTTGATTAAAGGTTGCTGCTTACCATAACCCCCAAAGTCCTTTTCGCAATCTGTATGGTTAAGTTCTACATTATTTAACTTATAAGTGCTAGGGTTATGGACACTCCCGAGCTTCAGAACCTTGCATTTATCTACATTGAACTGCACTGCCACTCTTTCTGGACCCAAGAGAGGTTTGTCTAAATCCTCCTGAAGTTCCCTAACATCTACGTTTGAATCAATTATCCTCCCCTATCTTCTTTCCCATCGGCGAATTTGCCTCATATCACTAGAATTCCTTCACAAGATCATTGATATATATTATAAACAACAACGGGCCCAAGACTGATCCCTGTGGAACGCCACTTGTTACTGATCCCCATTTATGGACACTCTTTGCTTCCTGTCTGTGAGCCATGATTCGATCCACGAGAGCACCCTTCCCCAATGCCATGAGCTGCTACTTTCTTCAACATTTCTTTGGTGAGGAAAACCTATCAAATGCCTTACTAAAATCTAAGTAAATAATATCAAATTCTTTATCGTGGTCAACAGCCTCAAAAGCTTTACTGAAGAAAGTTAATAAATTAGTTAGACAGGACCGGCCTCTTGTGAATCCATGCTGAGTATCTTTAATCAAGCTATGTATCGAGATGGCTCTTATAATCTCAGCTATAATTGACTCTAGTAATTTGCCTACAATTGAGGTCAGGCTTATTGGGCGGTTATTTTGACGGTAAACCCACTTGTCCCCTGTTTTAAAAATAGGAATTACATTAGCCATCTTCCACATATCAGACACCCGCACCTGTTTGAAAGAGATAAAATTAAAAATATTAGTTAATGGTTCACAAGACTTCCATTTTGCATTCCTTAAGAACCCTTGAAAAAACCTCATCAGGACCCGGTGACTTATTTTGCTTCAGTCGGTCTATCTGCTTCACAACCATTTCACTAGTGACTGTGATGTTACATAATTTATCTTCTTCTGATCCACTATAAAATTTTAAATTACCGGAATATTATTAGTGTCTTCCTGTGTAAAAACCGAGAGAAAATAATTATTTAAAATCGAGCACATTTCATTCTCTTTGTCAGTAAGATGCCCATAGTTATTTTTAAGGGGACCTATCTTATCTCTGACTTTTGTTCTATATACCTGGAAAAAACTTTTTGGGTTAGTTTTAGAATCCCTAGCAACTTTAATTTCATAGTCCCTTTTAGCTTTTCTTATCCCCTTTTTAATGTCCCTCTTAATGTCAATATACTGATTCATAAGATGACCCTCGCCTCTTTTGATACGCCTATAAATTTATAAATTCCTTTCTTATGCCCTAGTAGATATATGTTCACTCACCGAAGAACAATGCAACACTGCCTGATGATGTGTGTGGGAGGTGGCTTTATCTGCGCGCTGGGCACTGGACAGGTTCCGTACCATCGACAAAAACAGAATCAATATTTTGACGAAAGAAATTGGTGAAAATGGAAATCGTCGATAGCAGAGATCGACAAAAAGGGAGGGTCCACTGTAACTTTAAAACACTTGAAATTTTGTAGCAGCCTGGCATAATGTTGAGTCATACTCATGGAGAATATAAACAAACCAGGTGGCCCATGGTGAACCTATTAGAAAGTCAGGAGGGGAGAGCCATATAGAGTTTTTTGGTCGTAATTTGAAATGTCTGTATTAGTGGAATGCCGTATATGTACTTCCTTGTATGAATATTCATGCATAGTGCTAATTTATTAATATTGTTTAAAGATAAGTTTTCTTGTATACTCATTTTTTTTTAACACACTGGCTGTCTCCAAAAAGAGAAGGGTGAACCATAAGAAAGTGGAAAGACATTCACCATTCATTCAATCACTGTCTTGCCAAAAGTGTGCCGACATCATTATTCAGATGACCCTCCAAGAAGTAAACTCCCCCACCTTTCCCTCAGGGTACACTGTATTTCCCATTTTTAAGACTTAAGTCCTGATGATTTACTAACACTGAGAAAAGATAAGTTTCCTTCTACGAATATTCATATATTCTGCCTAATTATGTTTGTGTAAATGATCATTTATACATTTCAAAGACTGACTTTTCAACAGATAGAATTCATGCATCTTACTACTTCACGTATTGTAACAACTTCTAATCATATTGCACACTGGCAAGAGTGCAGTGAATTATACATGTGACTTTTGATGATTTAATTAAATTAGATTTTTGTGATGTGATTTAACGAGAATGAATTATCATGTGTTTTACTAAACTAGATTTTTGGGTAAAGTCTTTTAGACACTCTGAGCATTGATATGGTTTCTCTCCAGTATGAACTCTAATGTGTTTCACTAAATGAGATTGTTGGGAAAACTCTCTATGGCACTCAGAACACTCATATGGTTTCTCCCCCCCCCAAGTGGTGCGGGGGGGGGGGGGTCATTCCCCCCCCCCCCCCCTCCCCCCAACGGGGGGAAGGAGGGGGGAAAAAAATGTGTGTTTGGAGGGAAAAGAAAAAAAAAATGAGGAGAGAATGGTTGTTAGATGGTAGTTTTTGTTGGAGGTTTTAGAAAGTGTAATATTATGTGTTGATATTATATAATGTGTTTTATATAGGTTATTAGTTTGTGTTTAGGTGGATTATAATATAGTGTAAAGATTTAAAGTTGTTGTTAGATTAAATTGTGTATATTATGGTAAATATATGTTATTATGGTAAATTATATCGTTATATCAGAACACTGAATGGCTGTCGCTTCATAGGAATTCCTCATATGTTGTACTAAATAATTCGTTGACAAAACTCTCATTTGACACTCAAACACTTGTATGTTTCTCTCCAGTATGAATCTACTTGTGTGTTTCTATTAAACTAAATTTGCATGAAAAAACTTTAAAACACTCAGAGCACTGATGTGGTTTCTCTCCTGAATGGATTCTCATGTGACTTACCAAATTAGATTTCTGAGAAAACTCTTTCAGACATTCAGGACACTCATATGGTTTCTCTCCAGTGTGAGTTCTTAAAGGTGTTTTCACTAAAGAGAGAGTGTGGGAAACTTTTCTATGACAATCCAGAACATTTATATGTTTCTCCCCAGTATGACTTCTCATGGTTTTACTAAATCACATTTTAGCTGAAAACTCTTTTAGACAATCAGAACATTTATATGGTTTCTCTCCAGTGTGAATTCTCATGTGTGTTACTAAATCACATTTAGCTGAAAACTCTTTTAGACACTCAGAACAATGATATGGTTTCTCTCCAGTATGAATCCTCATATGATAAACTAAACTAGATTTAGCTGAAAACTTTTTTTGACACTCAGAACACTGATATGGTTTTTCTTCAGTATGAATTCTCATGTGATATACAAAACTAGATTTAGCTGAAAACTTTTTTAGACACTGAGAACACTGATAGGGCTTCTCTCCAGTATGAATTCTCATATGATGTATTAAACTAGAATTAGCTGAAAACATTTTCAGACACTCTGAACACTCATATGGTTTCTCTTTAGTATGAATTCTCATGTGACTCAATAATAGACATTTCTGAGGAAAGTCTTTTAGACACACTGAACACTGAAGTTTTTTTATGTCTTTTTCCTAATTTTCACCATAGATTTTTACGAGGATGGTTTCAGTGATGTTGATACTGATAAAAGTTTTATCATTCTGGATGAACTGTAACTTGTGGATCAGCACACTGCTGAGTAAGCATTTCAGACATAGTGAACAACAACTCAAAATAATCTTCCAAATGGTAAAGTTCTTAAGCAGATAAGAACAAAGTGAATATTTTGTTACACTGAAAAACAAAATTTCTCTAATACCTATTATATTATAAACATAGGCAAGCACTAAACCAGGATGGGTCATATGATGCCTGAAGTTTAAAAGGGGTGACTCAAGTACTGGGAGGACAACGCCAATTCCTTGAAGCAAGAGCAGTTTAGGAGCCACCGAGGTCCTACCTTGAAGGGTTCTGTAATGGTGAACATGAATTAAATGTTTGTTACTAAAATTTAACAACAGTTTTGTAACAATGTATATTATTAAAAGTATAATTTGTATTAAATCTTACACAAGTTATTGAAGTTAATAATAATTTTCAGGTCATAAAGCAGTGAACTGTTTTCTCTCTACTGCAGTCTTAATACTTCCTAATGTTACTGCAGTCTTAATGCTTCCTAATGTTACTGCAGTCTTAATACTTCCTAAAGTTACTGCAGTCTTAATACATCCTAATGTTAACTGCAGTCTTAAATACTTCCTACTGATTTACTGCAGCTTAATGCGTCCTTATGATACTGCAGTCTTAAATAACTCTTCCTAAAGTTACTGCAGTCTTAATACTTCCTAATGTTACTGCAGTCTTAATACTTCCTAATGTTACTGCAGTCTTAATACTTCCTAATGTTACTGCAGTCTTAATACTTCCTAATGTTACTGCAGTCTTAATACTTCCTAATGTTACTGCAGTCTTAATACTTCCTAATGTTACTGCAGTCTTAATACTTCCTAATGTTACTGCAGTCTTAATACTTCCTAATGTTACTGCAGTCTTAATACTTCCTAATGTTACTGCAGTCTTAATACTTCCTAATGTTACTGCAGTCTTAATGCTTCCTAATGTTACTGCAGTCTTAATGCTTAGTAATGTTACTGCAGTCTTAATGCTTCCTAATGTTACTGCAGTCTTAATGCTTAGTAATGTTACTGCAGTCTTAATACTTCCTAATGTTACTGCAGTCTTAATACTTCCTAATGTTACTGCAGTCTTAATGCTTAGTAATGTTACTGCAGTCTTAATGCTTCCTAATGTTACTGCAGTCTTAATGCTTCGTAATGTTACTGCAGTCTTAATACTTCCTAATGTTACTGCAGTTCTTAATTAACTGTCCTAATGTTACTATCGCAGTCTTAAATGCTATAATGTTACTGCAGTCTTAATACTCCCCTAATGTTACAGCAGTCTAGCTTCCTATGTTACCTTGCAACCATAATACTTCCTAATGTTACTGCAGTCTAAATGCTTCCAATATTACTGCAGTCTTGCTATGCTTAGTAATGGTACTGCAGTCTTATTAATAACTTCCTAATGTTACTGAAAGTCTTAATACTTCCTAAATGTTACTGGGCAGGCTAATGCTTCTAATGTTATACTGCAGACACCCCCCACACTTAAGTGCTTAGTAATGTTTACTGCAGTCCCTTTAATGCTTCCCTAATGTTACTGCAGTCGTAATGCTTCCTAATGTATACTGCCAGTCTTAAGCTTAGTGAATGTTACTGCAGTCTTAATACTTCCTAATGTTACTGCAGTCTTAATGCTTAGTAATGTTACTGCAGTCTTAATGCTTCCTAATGTTACTGCAGTCTTAATGCTTCCTAATGTTACTGCAGTCTTAATGCTTAGTAATGTTACTGCAGTCTTAAACTTCCTAATGTTACTGCAGTCTTAAATGCTTCCTCCTAAATGTTACTGGCAGTCTTAATACTTCCTAATGTTACAGCAGTCCTTAATGCCTTTCCTAATGTTACTGCAGTCTTAATACTTCCTAATGTTACTGCAGTCTTAATACTTCCTAATGTTACTGCAGTCTTAATACTTCCTAATGTTACTGCAGTCTTAATACTTCCTAATGTTACTGCAGTCTTAGTGCTTCCTAATGTTACTGCAGTCTTAATACTTCCTAATGTTACTGAAGTCTTAATACTTCCTAATGTTACTGCAGTCTTAATGGCTTCCTAGTAACTGCAGTCTTTAAATACTTCCTAATGTTTACCTGCAGTCATAATACTTCCTAATGTTACTGCAGTTCTTAAAGCATTTAGTAATGTTACTGCAGTCTAATACTTCCTAAAGTGACTGCAGTCTTAATACTTCCTAATGTTACCTTACTGCAGTCTTAATGCTTAGTAAATTTTTGGTTACTGCAGTCTAATGCTTCCTAATGTTACTGCAGTCTTAATGCTTAGTAATGTTACTGCAGTCTTAATACTTCCTAATGTTACTGCAGTCTTAATACTTCCTAATGTTACTGCAGTCTTAATGCTTAGTAATGTTACTGCAAGACTTAAATACTTCCTAATGTTAACTTGCAGTCTTAATGCTTCCTAAAATGTTACTGTCAATTCTTAATACTCCTAATGTTACTGCAGTCTTAATACTTCCTAATGTTACTGCAGACTTAATGCTTAGTAATGTTAATGTAGTCCTAATGCTTCCTAATGTTACTGCAGTCTTAATACTTTCCTAAAGTTTACTGCAGCCTTTAATACTTCCTAATGTTACTGGCAGTCTTTAATACTTCCTAATGTTACTGCAGTCTTAATACATCCTAATGTAACTGCAGTATATACTTCCTAATGTTATCTGCATCTTAAACTTCCTAATGTTACAACTGCAGTCTTAATGCTTCCAAATTTTACTGGCCGTCTTAAAGCTAGAAATGTACTGCAGTCTAATGCTTCCTATGTTTACTGCAGTCTTAATGCTTAGTAATGTTACTAGCATCTTAATTAATACGTCCAAATGTTACTGCAGTCTTAATACTTCCTAATGTTACTGCAGTCTTAATGCTTAGTAACGTTACTGCAGTCTTAATGCTTCCTAATGTTACTGCAGTCTTATGCTTAGTAATGTTACAGCAGTCTAAATACGATTCTTATGTTACTGCAGTCTTAATACTTCCTAATGAGTTACTGCAGTTCTTAATGCTTAGTAATGGTTACTGCAGTCTTAATACTTCCTAATGTTACTGCAGTCTTAGTGCTTCCTAATGTTACTGCAGTCTTAATACTTCCTAATGTTACTGCAGTCTTAATGCTTCCTAATATTACTGCAGTCTATAAAAGCTTAGTAATGTTACTGCAGTCTTAATACTTCCTAATGTTACTGAAGTCTTAATACTTCCTAATGTTACTGCAGTCTTAATGCTTCCTAATGTTACTGCAGTCTTAATGCTTAGTAATGTTACTGCAGTCTTAATGCTTCCTAATGTTACTGCAGTCTTAATACTTCCCAATGTTACTGCAGTCTTAATGCTTCCTAATGTTACTGCAGTCTTAATGCTTAGTAATGTTACTGCAGTCTTAATACTTCCTAATGTTACTGCAGTCTTAATGCTTAGTAATGTTACTGCCTCAGTCCTTAAAACTTAGTAATGTTACTGCATTCCTTTAATGCTTCCTAATGTTTACTGCATTCCTTAATGCGTAGTAATGTTACTGGCAGTCTAATCTTCCTAAGTTACTGCATGACTTAATGCCTTAGTAATGTTACTGCAGTCTTAATACTTCCTAATTTTACTGCAAGTCTTAATACTTCCTAATGTTTTACTGGCAGTCTTAATACTTCCTAATGTATACTGCATCTTTAATGTTCCAAGATACAGCAGTCTTAATACTAAAACTTCCTAATGTTACGCAGTCTTAATGCTTTTCCTAATGTTACTGCAGTCTTAATAACTTCCTAATGTACTGCATCTTAATACTTCCATGTACTCAGTCATAATGCATATAATTGTTACTGCAGTCTTAATGCTTAGTAATGTTACTGCAGTCTTAGTGCTTCCTAATGTTACTGCAGTCTTAATGCTTAGTAATGTTACTGCAGTCTTAATGCTTCCTAATGTTACTGCAGTCTTAATGCTTAGTAATGTTACTGCAGTCTTAATACTTCCTAATGTTACTGCAGTCTTAATACTTCCTAATGTTACTGCAGTCTTAATGCTTAGTATTGTTTACTCAGTCTTGAAGTACTTCCTATGTTACTGCAGTCTTAATGCTTCCTAATGTTACTGCAGTCTTAATACTTCCTAATGTTACTGCAGACTTAATGCTTAGTAATGTTAATGTAGTCTTAATGCTTCCTAATGTTACTGCAGTCTTAATACTTCCTAATGTTACTGCAGTCTTAATACTTCCTAATGTTACTGCAGTCTTAATACTTCCTAATGTTACTGCAGTCTTAATGCTTCCTAATGTTACTGCAGTCTTAATGCTTCCTAATGTTACTGCAGTCTTAATACTTCCTAATGTTACTGCAGTCTTAATACTTCCTAATGTTACTGCAGTCTTAATGCTTCCTAATGTTACTGCAGTCTTAATACTTCCTAATGTTACTGCAGTCTTAATACTTTCCTATGTTTTTACTGCAGGTCCTTAATACTTCCTAATTTTAACGGCAGTCTAATACTTCCTAATGTTACTGCAGTCTTAATACTTCCTAATGTTACTGCAGTCTTAATACTTCCTAATGTTACTGCAGTCTTAATACTTCCTAATGTTACTGCAGTCTTAATACGTCCTACTGTTACTGGCAGTCTTAATATACTTCCAAATGTTAACTGGCAGTCTTCAATACATGCTAATGTTACTGGCAGTCTTAATACTTCCTAATGTTCTGGCAGTCTTAAAAAACTTCCTAATGTTACTGCAGTCTTAATACTTCCTAATGTTACTGCAGTCTTAATACTTCATAATGTTACTGCAGTCTTAGTGCTTCCTAATGTTACTGCAGTCTTAGTGCTTGCTAGTGTTAAGGCAGTCTTAGTGCTTAGTAATGTTACTGCAGTCGTAATTCTTCATAATGTTACTGCAGTCTTAATTCTTCCTAAATGCTACTGTTACTGCAGGCTTA